GTTAGAAATTAATGAAGCTAAATGGTAAGATTTTTTGTCAACAAAATGCACTTTGCATAACTAAATATGAGTTGAAAAAATATAGTTTTTTTTCTCTACGATAACAGTTAACAGTCGTTTGAATATCAAATTAAGGTGATTTGGAAAGCACTTTTTGATTTGAAAATAAGTGAAGTGAGTAGAAGTGAATTATTTTCAAAAATAATCACTGTTAACAGATTCCTTATTCAATTTTTTTTCTGACTGGATTTCTTTAGGTTCTGAAGAGCATATTACTCTCTTACAGTAATCAGTTGCCCCGTCAACTACAAGTGCTTCTACTAAAGGCCGATTGTAGAGCAGATATTCAAAAACATCCCTATCCTTTGATTTTTGGTAAAATGAGGACTTGACTAACATAGATCACTTAGATAAAATGATATTTCATACTTTTAACTAGGTGTTTAGTGAAGGAAAAAAAGAAGGCTGAAATGCCTACAGATAAGTTTGAAAAGCAAATCTCCACCTTGTTGTTGCCAGTAATGAACTTTTTTGAAAAACTAATCTAATTTTAGCTTTTATTAAATCTTGCAATTATTGAAACTATAGTCTACCTCTACCTTCAGTGAGTGAATTTCTTAATTTATACAGAAATTAAATTTGAAACTTTTTTTTGCACCTGATCCTTTCTTAGTTTTACTGCTTTTTTTCATGAACAAAAATGGTAACTGTTGCAACTAAAAAAAAAGCGCATTTTTGACTATAATCGATCTGCCAAGTGCTATATTTTAAAACTTTTCAATTAAAAATGTAGTGACAAAAAGGCTTCATAAATAATCAGACTAATCAATCGTATGAATTTTATCTTATAAACAGATGAAGTATGCTCAATCACGCTCAATCTTGTTTATTATTTTTTACTGATGTTTTTTTGCTGGTACCAAATACTTCTTGTAAGCATACCAAAAGAAACAGCTAAAATAAAGCTTAATTTTATCAACTTACTTTCAACAGCAGCAAAAGCGATGCTGAGGAATACGAAAAGGACTGCTGTGTTGTACATTGCTGATGTTGGAACTGAAGGCAGAAGTGGATTTAAATACAATAAAATTTTTTTTCCTGTATAACTCAGCGATGTTACTGCAGCTCTTTTTTTT